GGGGGAAGAATATAATACCCCTAATTTTAAAAGGATAGTCTCGGTATTTATTTATTATTTTTATTGTATTTTTGCGTAATTATTTGGTTTAATTATTTTTATTTATTAATTTTATGTGACATATATTTAGTTGGCATTTATTGTTTAAGTGTTTTAATTGTTTAATTATGAATTTTGTTTTCGTTAATTGTTTCTTCTTTTCTTTAATTGGGTTGTGTATTTAGTTATATGTGTATTTTCTGTAATTGGATTAGTTGGTCATTCTAATGTGTAAATTGGTTTATTTAAATATTTTAATTAAAGTAAATTATAGTTTAAATTAGTATCAGTTACAGTATTAAAATAAATTACTAACTGGTCTAATTTTAAACAGTAGGGTTCCCTAAGAGGTTACGCGTATGTAGCCGAGTATCTTATAACCTAGATTGCTATATGGGCCGACTGACTAGAGTTTTATATTAGGGCTCTGGCTTTAATTAAACAAAGCTTAGGGTTTAGGATTTTTGCGCCTATTTATACATAGTTGTATCTATATTAAGGGTTGGAAAACCCCTACTCACGTAATATAGAGACAGAGAGTTACGGAGTGAGGCTTTGAGAGAGCAGAGCAAGTTTGTGAGGTTTCCAACCGAGGCTTCAAGATTTGGCTTAGGAAAAGGGAAGAACAGAAGTAATAGGAGGATAGACAGTGTTGCAGTGGTTGCCGGAAGTTAGGACGACGGCGACAAAGTTTTGAGTCCAAAACTGCAGGCAAGTTCTTATCTTCTTCTTTTCCTTTGGCTCGTGTTCTGTGCACCTAGATAGTCTCTAGGGATTAACTAGTTAGTAATTGAAACTTATGTGTTTAATGTATGCTTGTTGATGATCTGTTTGCATTGAATTCAAATCTGTTTACAGTTCGTGTATTGTTGCTCCCAGTTCTGTTCATTAAAGCATATGAAAATCTGTTGAGATTTTAGTTACGATTCTTGCTTTTATCTTCTGTAAACAAACGCTGGGGATGTTAATGGGATGATATAAGACTCCTAAAATCAGTTTCTGAATAGGAACAGAGAGGTTGGAATAGAATTAGAGTTTCAGTTTTGTTCCTAACGAGGGTTAGTTTGGTAACAAATTTAATCTCTGTAATTGATTTTAATTGTTGTTATCAAGCCATTGGGATGCTACTGGGTATTAATATGACACCTAAGATTAGTTTTAAAAACTAACAGAGTGATAGGAATAAGCCGGAGAAGGAGCACAAAAGCTGAAACGAAGCACCGGGGACTGAAGGCTCTCAAAGGAGGTGAGAGCCGGCTCCATAGATGTGGGAGCCGGCTCCCACAACAAGTAGAGCCGGCTCTAAGGAATCCTAGAGCCGGCTCTAGGCTGAAAGAGCCTGCTCCCAAAAGTTGGAGCAGGCTCCCTTTTCATTTTATGTTTTGTTTTAATTTTTTTTTTTTTAGTTTTCTACGTACTGTGTTTTACTATTGGAGCATGGGATTTAATCTGTTTGTTCTGGGGTTCCACAGAGAGATTAGAAGGCTGAATTTGGGTGTTATTAGGACCTTAAATTGATTAAGGTTTAATTCTAAATTGTCAGGACAAACAGTGTAAAAATTAAGGCACTTCCTATGTTGTTAACAAATGAAAGATAAATTAATTGTTGAATTAAATTTCAGCAATTTGATGGAATATAATGTGTTTATAAAACTTGTTTTAGATTGTATTCAAATGCATGATAAGGTCATTTAATTATTAATTTTGATTTATGCATGCTTAGGAGGCTAATTACTGAATTATTAAATCGTTTCCTGCAACTATATGGTTAATGCTTAGATTTAAATTGCTAAAACATTAAACAATCTTCTGAAATTGTTTTAGCAATTTATTGGATAATAATAGGATTATTTAACCTATTCACATGCATGATGGAGTCCCGGACATATTAAATTTGGTCTATGCATGCTATGGATGTTAGTTGTTGATTTATTAAATCGTCTCCTACAACTATATAGTTAAATGCTTGGATTTAAGTTGCTGAAACTTTAAATATTTTTCTGCAATTATTTGGATGGTGGTTTTTGGTCTGTAAATTATTGAACTGTTATATATGTTGTAATTTACATGGATATGGAGGAATGTATGTACCGGTATGGGACGGTGACATACTAGGGACGGTTTAACTCAAAACGCATAAACCTAACCTAATGGATTAATGGAATGGATTGAAAGATATCGAATCCTAATTGTGACTAAGTTAGATCAGCTGTAACCAAGTTGGATGACTTCCTGGATTAACGGATAGTAGTTAAGTCATATCAACTGAATAAGTTGAGTGACTAACTAGTTGGTTTATGATATGTCAGTTTAATAAATAGTTGAATTACATACCCTGGATTTGGACGGACTTTATATATATGTTTATGGTACCACGAGTTGAGCTTGAGTCTCAGACTCGTTGGTTAGGGTGCGTATATGCAGTAGATGCGTAGCTGGTTATAATAGGTTGAGGTGTACCCTGTTAGGTTTAGGTACTCATGCCCACCTTTGGGTGCGTATTCGCATGTTGCCTTCTATTCAGGTTGAGACCCCTATTATAGACTAGTGAATGTCCCTTAGTGTGGATATATTTATACATATAGACTAGATAGATATTGTGAGGTGTCTACGGTGTATCTGCGTATCGGGTCACTGTATGGATTGCAGTTAGATTAGAACTTGCTCGTGGGTCTAACCCACTCCTTCATTATTCTTTTCAGGTACCGGACGGTTCTAGCCTTAGAGCTTGATCATGCTTGTCGAGGACAGTCTAACCTTCATCTGATTACGTAGGACTTCTCTCGATGTTTCTAGCATTATCTATTTTCAGTTTTCAGTTTCAGTTGAACTTTTGGTTAGGGGTCCATCAGTGGATTCCCAAATTGTAACCTTGAAGTTTTGGAGGATTGGAGTTTCAATTTTCAGTTATACATGGAGGGTTTTATTATTATTATTTCTATCTTTATTGTTTCTTTTTGTCATCTGTGTTCGTTTTAAAATACTTTAATTGTTTGATATTCCCTCAGGTTTGGGCCTGGGCCTGATCAACCCGTGTCTCGGATCCGAGGGGCATCACACCAATCTAGCTTCTTCTTGAATTTGGAAGGTTGCATCACTGGTATCATTCAATAATTGGAGCTGGATGTCTTCCAAATGGTCCTTAATTTTCATCACTTTCTTACCAACATTACCAAAACATTTCTTGTTCCAATCTTTTATGATCAACTTTACATTCCAGAGCTTCTTCACCAGAACATGGATTAGATTCCCTAAAACCTCAATATCCCAAGCTTTCTGCACCATAGGTGGCATACAATCCTGCATACACCACAACTTGAGCATTTTTAAAGGTTTGGGACCTGCTGCAAAATCATTGGAGATTTGAATAGCAATTCCATAGTCATCAAAACATGAAGCAGTAATATACAAAGCCTTAGTACAAGGTAGTTTGTCCAACCAACTCTCATGCATTTTTAAATTTGTTCAATGTTCGCGAGCTTGTATAATTCATCTCGTTTTGCATTCCTGGGATCGTCGAGTAAATCCAAGATGAACTGCGAACGCAGGGGCTTAGGCTCTTCCTATATCATATCAAAAGTATATAACAGTATATTATGTACACATTACGATACATGAAATAAAGTTTGAATAAATAACCCAATTTACATAAAAGGTAGTTGATAATTTATTGTCATTCCACAACTCCATGTACCTCATCACGAATAATCCAAAAGCATTTCTAACATCCAATGAATAAATTACATACATAATCAGTGACTAACAGAATACTAAAATATGAAACTTTTTATCACATTTTTCATTAAATAATTATATTTAAATTTAAACTATACATACCCATCATTCTAAACTGATATTTTCTTTGAAGGCTTTGTTTTGTACGATGGCCACTTTTCCCCTATTGCAATCTCAACGAATTGTTTCTGTCATACATAACATGATCCCATTTACAAGGAGAGATAAAAATAGTTTGTATTGATTAATATTGCCAGTAGAAGACATAGATTAAAAAAATAGAATGCGTACGTATAGAGTTGTACCACGTAGTCAGCATATAAAGTGTATCTATATGGTCGGTCCAACGAACATAGGTAATCAACTTACTTATTCAGGCGGTTGACGACAAGCAAAAACCAGTGACTCTTGACAAGTGCAAGAAAAAAATACTGTATCACAGTGAATCAAGATGAAGTAAGGACATAAAAAGACACACATACAACTGACCGAAATAAAATTAATGATAAAAAATGAAACAAACCAGATCACACTTCTTCAACACGTCTACATCGATTTTTGCATACTTTTTGTAATTTTCCCACACTTCTTCTAAGGCTGCCCGCCGCTCCTCAACAGTTTTAAAATTCACCAACTATTTTTTCATAAGGAATTACATGGCTATAGTTGGGAAATAATACTTCATCATACGGTCTCCTTATTGTTTGTTCAAAACATTTGCCCAAAATAGTATGACCTGAGATAAGTAAACACTTATATTCACTAAATATATTCATAACAATAAAGATTAATTACAAATAACATGCGATTACAATCACTCACGAAGTTAGACACCCAATTCGGGTCAAACAGTTGAGCTATCCCCTTCCTTGAAAAGGGCTCACCATACATTTCTACCAATATCTCCCTGCACAGATTCATTAAAAATAATATATTCATTCCAATGCAATATTATATTAATTAAAAATAAATGAAGATGGAAATATCACGACACATAAACAATTGCAATGGATTTTAACAAAAGTGTGTTGCAATTACTCTTCATCATGCTCACGCGATGCTGCATAACTCAACAATTTCTTCTGCTTCATGACCAATTTAATCTTCTTACCTTCCTTGTACACAAATGGAGAGAAGTAATATTTTGTTAGTTTTTTTTTCCTCTTACTTCGTCTCAAATTTTCCAGGACTTCATCCTCTCCTATGTCCGTACCATTAATAGCATTTTAAGGCCCTGCAACATTTATGTCTGCCTGACTATTGGAAGCTACAACTGCTACTACACTTAAGTCCTGCTCCATAGCTATGGCGACAACCATATCGCCCTCTTCCCTTTGTTGGTCATTTATTTTAGGGTTGGTGGTAGGAGTAATGTCGCCTGCATCTCTCTCGAATACATCCCCATCAACTGATTCCCCCTCACCACCTATTTCCCTTTCCTCCCTATCCTCTTCATCTCTTGGCTCATCAGCAAACTGTTGTTCCTCACCTCTAAAATCCTTTCTTGACTTCTTCTTTATTAAAATCTCTATTTTCTTAACCTTTCTCTTCAACGTCTTTGTATTTTCTGCATCGTTTCTTATTTCCCTTTTCATATCTTTAATGCAACGCTACATACAAATGTAGTAATTGGTGAACACTAATTGAAATATAATTACGAGGCAATCTATTCATACATACATCATCATCTCCAGCATTAAAATATTTATTTACCTCCAATGCAGCATTGGACGGCCGAGATTGGGACAGACCACATGCAGTTGGGCCAACATTGACATTGCTCAGATCTACTATGCCCCAAGATGTGATCAACTGTTCTAAATTCAAATTATGCACAATCTATAACTATTGTTCTACCTGATACTGGAATGATAAAATAAAGATACACAAGCACTTAAATTTGCAACGTAGCTAACAAATACTACATTACCTAACCATTTCCAAACCTTCCCAATTGTTCCTCCCATTTCAATCGATCACGTACGAGGCCATCATCCCAATAACCTAGGTTATTTCTATCTCTAGTAGGGTAGCTTGGGTACTTCACTTGACATCTCATCAAATAAAGCAGCTATTTTGTATGAAACAAAATCACACAAAACAATTTAAATTCATAACTTTCAATTTGCAAATGGAGTTAAATTAAAAGTTGTATACCTACAAGAAAAGCAAGCAACCAACATACTCTCTTTTCACCCAAACTACCAACCACATGGTCCACCACATACGGGCACCAGTTATAAGAACTTATTGCTTTGACATTGTCAACGGCCAATAATTCTTGTACATGCGCATGATAACGACTGTTTGGGGTTAGTACAGTCGTACATGCGAATAATACAATGGCCCTTTTGAAGTTATCTCCAGCTTTACATTCTACAACCCTTTTCATCAATTCGTCTACAGACAACGACTCCCGATATCCACCCTTGTCTATCCAGTCCGCAGAAAACTGACGGGATGTAGGCACTGGCACTATACCGGCAGGTAAGCCCAAAATGTTATGCACCTCAAACGCATTTATGGGTAACAACTGATTGCCCTTCAGTTTTATGCCACATTTGTCAGCCTCAAATTGTTCTATCAAGTAATCGAAGAGTGGAGTCAACAAATGGGAACAATTGAGACCCAACAGAAATTCAAAACCGATATCCTTTACATCCTTCCTCTTCTCAGAATTCAATTTTGCAACTATTTCTATAAATTTCGGAATGGAGCTTCTGTGGAAACTGGCCTTAATCTTGTATTCTGCATTCTTTTATACTATTGAAAAACTAATAACATTATCATTCAATTTTCAAGTCTATATTATATGAAATAAATACAAACAATTTGATTTAACACATTACATTTTTCCTTCTTTTATTTGCAGCTTTACATCCGGACCTTCGGAACTCCATTTCAAGTCTACTTTTTTCCTCATAATATGAGGTCTTCTCTTCACTGCTCATTATTTTTCATGCATGTGTAGTTTCAGTCTCTATTTCTCTTTTTAGAGACATCTTGATTTTTTCTGTCAATCCATGATCTTCTCGGTATTTCCTCATATATGCCGCTCTGATCAGCCATAAATATACCAAGCATAAGGATTTAAATACATATACATCACAAGTTACTTTTTATGTTCTCCACTCTCAAATTCATATATCTTCCATTTACAACAAACCAAAAATTTCATATAACTTCCCAATTTGTTCATTCTTTTCCATGACTTTAGACTTCAAACCAAATTTCAATTGCAAAATTAACATTAATACATACTTACTTGAACATAACGAACACTCTAGCAGGACGATGTGGAATACTTTCTTTGGTCTTGGAGGATTTAGTAATGTTTGCCTCTGGCTCAAATTTTTTTTCATATGCATATTCATCTTCATGTACCTCCTCTTCACTTGGCACATAATCAGAATCACTCTCAGTCGACATTCTCGAACTCTCACCAACCTCACCACTCTTAGGGATATTTATCTTCTTTGGAACCAGAATCATTTTCCTTTTCCCTTTCCCTTTATTACACGCTACAATCTTCAACCTACCCATTTGAAAACCTAAATTCAATTCAAGCCATACATTGCATGCTACATAGCCATAACATGTTAACTGCCAAATATATAACACAATGCATCAGTATTTTGCAATTAAATTGCTGAAACATGTCCAACATAAGCATTTGTTTTCAATCCAAAAATAAAAATTACTAATATCACTATTACACAATCTGTCAAACCATGAAGTTTCATCAAGCTACATGTGTACAAATAACAAGATTTTAGACAAGTGTTATGTATTTGGAGGCTGATTCACTAATATGAAGAGAATTATTGTGAAAAATATAAGCCAAAAATAAATAGCGGATTATTTGACAAAGCTTTGTTTTCTTACTCCCTAAAACAAGTCACTTCAAAACTAATACTCCTACTACACAGCAAAATATACAGAGTATATGATATAAACATAGTCTTTTCTCTAGGAAGGCATATTACATAGGTAATATCAACAAATCAAGGCATACTGGCTCTTCTAGCAATTTGTCAACCAGAAAATACGCAAAAACAAAAATGTGTATGCAACATAAGTTAAGTGAACATAAATTATATAACCATAAACCAAATTTATACACACTAACTTTATAATCATATACATGTGACAAATTTTAAATATATACAAGATCATCACTAAGGAAGAGCAAAGCAAATTATGCTCACAACTCAACTGCAGTAAAGATAAGCAGTTTAATCACTAAAAAATTACGAAATTAAATGCATTTACGATTTACGATGTCGTATGTATGTTAATGCACACATGTGAATGCAAACATCAGGCACCTCATCTATTATACTCAAAACATTAGGTAGCATTATTAAACTAAAAATGGTTAATTCACACTCACCCAACTACAGAACTTCAGACTTTTGGAACAGCCATTTACTATTGATGAAAGCATGACTCCAAATTAAGAATAAATACCTTCTGTACTTTGTGGGTTTTTAGGGCGATCGGTTATGGGGTTCTCTTTAATCACCGAAAAGGAATGAGGGAGAAAAGGCAAGACAGAGGTTTCGGTTTTCTTGAATCAAAGAAAGAGCAAGAGAGGTTAGGGTTTTCTTCAATGTAGCAATGGTTCTCTTCACAACCCAAGCCTCAGACGCAGAAGAGATGTTAGGGTTTTGTTCAAAGGAAAATGTTAGGTTACAATTTACAAATACTTTGGGATTTATATTACCAAAATGTTAGATGTACATTAGGAAAATGTTGTGACTCACTTTACAAAAATATTGGAATGCGGATAAAGAAGAATTTGAGATGCTTATTAGGAAGAATTTGGGATGCAACTTAGGAAAACGTTGTGATACAAGTCCAACGACCAAACATTTTCTTAACATTGTAACACTCTGAAACACTCTTTTTGCGCCATTCATGTACTCTACAAATCCTCTCATTTTTTATCCTCACAAACAAATACTCATACCCCTAATAACTGCACAATAAAAAAGCCATTAATTCAAATTCCCCAATAATTTTCTATTTTTGGGTTTCTTACCAAAAATGTGTTTATATATTCTTACTAATTATATTTGTTTCTATCATTTACTTCTTATGGAAATAAGACGATTCCCTTCAAAATCAAATCTAAGAATTATGATTTGTACCTGCTTAGGTTTAGCAACCAAATTTTGGGTTCATTCATAGAACAATCGCTGCTTCCGGCTTCTATTTGGAAAGAGAGTTTAGGGTTTTTTACCAAAAATGTGTCTATATATTCTTACTAATTATATTTGTTTCTGTCATTTAGTTCTTATGGAAATAAGATGATTCCCTTCAAAATCAAATCTGAAAATTATTATTCGTACCTACTTAGGTTTAGCAACCAAAATTTGGGTTCATTCACAAAACAATCACTGCTTCCGGCTTTTATTTGGAAAGAGAGGTTAGGGTTTTCTTCAATGTAGCGATGGTTCTCTTCACAGACGCAAGCCTCAAACGCACGACAGAGGTTACGGTTTTCTTCAACTACAAAATCGGTAACACAGGACCTTCTTCCTTCTTTCTTCTTCGCAAACCCACGCAAACCTTCTTCATGCAACAAAGCACCTTCTTCCTACGTAGACCTTCAGACGACCTTCTTCCTTAGACCTTCTTTCTTCTTTCTTCTTCACAAACCCACGCAGACCTTCTTCATTCTTTCTCTTCTTTTTATTCTTTACAAATTCTGTAAAGTAAGGGCTAGGGCTAAATGGACAATTTCATACAATAGTAAGGGCTAAATGGATAATATGTCATATAAATATAACATATACCGTATTATTACACAAATATACTATATTATTACACACATTTAATACAACTTCAGTTACTTTTTTTTACCCACTTTTTTAAGTGACGTGACCATTTCTCCTCCACTCATTCCAAAATGGAGGAACTAGTGCACAGTGCGACTGAAGGTGATTTTCACCCATTTTGGAGGGATTCCAAATGAGGGATTTGGGGGGATTGTTATCCCTCCAAATCTCTCCAAATCCTTTCTTCTTTTTTTTTTCTATTCCTCCCATCCAAACACACTCATCACTAATCTTCCCTTTATTTTCTCTCCAAATCCCTCTAAATCCCTCAATCTAAACGAAGCCTAAAGTTTCTCTCCAAAATTTCTCCCTCTAAGACTTGAGAATAAAAAGAAAAAAAGGTGGTGTATATAAAGAGAGTTGGTGTTACTTACACCTACCCGTCAAGACTCAAGAGGTTACTTTTGACTACGAGACCACAAGACATCACGTGCTGCTTAGGATTCTTTGAAAGTAATGGTAAATCAATGTACGGGTACTCTTGTTGTTATCTTTCGCGTATAATGAATTCGAATAAATATTTATTAAAATCGATTGATGTAGAGGTGTCGGACCTACAATGAATATTGATTTCAAAAAAGTTTGTTGGCATTGATTGTGATTACGGATGGTTTGTTTTATGAAGCCAGAGCCTTCGCTGTGACAACTCACAGCACTGCTAGTATTGAGACTGACTCCAGTGAGTTAGATGCGAGGAACATTAATGTTGATAAATGGGACAGAGTCTTCGGTAGATAGGCGCGTGTAATGATTTTGTAGGAAAATTTTATTATATGATGTGTAATGATAATTGCATCTAAGCCAGGTATGCTGTGAGAAAAACTTGTTGTTCTTGTTGCACCGGCACTTGAGTATCGAAATTGTTCATTATAATGACGATTCGATGGTCCTGTTGCACAATACAATTGCTGCACATAAATTTTTCTCGTCTGTTGCTGCTTTATTATCTTATTTTCGGTCAATAAAAACTAGGATTAATAACAATGACACCCTCTAAAGATCAAATAGAGACACAATGGAGAGAACCTAAGTCAGCCGAAGCTGTTATTGAAGATCAATCGAACTAGCTGTAGTCTCAATTGTCGCCGAAAAGAAGCCTGATCGGACTGAGGATTGATCGGAGTTGAAGTCTCCATTGTTACCGGACTAAAGATCCATTTAATTCAATGAGAGCACAGACCTACAGTGACCTTAACCATGGGTTCCAAATAAAGCCAATAACTTTAGCGATTGTCCACATAGCCCAGAGAGAGCTTTAGAACACATCTGGGTTCGGTCAAGACAAATCCAACTGGTGACAACCGCAACATAGATTCTAGAGTTGCTGCTAAATTGATATATATATATATATATATATATATAACTGTGAAACTATGAGAGACCAGGAAGCTCATCAAGCATAACTCTGTCGTGCTTTAGCTTTGAATGATGAGAGCGGCTCTCCTATGTAATTGTGTGTACTGTTATCCAACTTATGAAACTTTGCGGCCATCATCCCTATTGTTACAGGGCTAAATTACACCACAAATTTTTGCCTCTCTAATGGCACTTGGGGCCACCAAGTCTCAGCCAACACAACAACACAATACACACAGTATAGAAATGTAAAGAAGGCACACACAGTTTACAGGGACAAGCCCCAACCTTTGCTCATATTAAACATATTACAAAGGAACATGAGTTCGTACAAGGAACAACCAAGGCTCACACCCTCCTCTCTGTTCCCTCTACAAAGCCCACCTTAGCATTATATAGGCCACTCTCAAAACCGCCCATAACTGCCCACTAAGATGATGCATGACACCCCCATCCACCTAGGATCGTGCTGGCACATGTCGTGCTGGCACCCTATAGATGTGCCAGCACTATAATGCAGTTGACAAGCCCAACTGCTAGACTTGTTGGCGTGTTCTACTCATGCCACACAACCATAAGAAGTTACATTCTGCATAATGGAAGAAACCACCCTTAACCGCCTGTGTGTTGGTCCTCTCAGAATTATGCCACATGCTTGGGAGGTTACTCAGCATTCCCCCACTTCCCATGATGAGTGGGAAGTGCTAGTAACTTCCCCCAACCGATCGAGCCCACTAAACCACCACCTCTTGTAACCGCAAGCCATAACTTTATGTTGTCTATGCTCTAGCCACATTTGAGCCAACCTTGTGAACCTAGCCCAAGCCAAGTCCACCAATCTGTATCCATATATATATGTCTCTGAGTGTACGGCGTGCCAAGCCATGCATGCCTGTGCGCACGCTCGGGTGCACGCCAAAGTGCACGCCGGCGCACACCCTAGTGCCCTTCTACATGCGCCATGTTTGAACCCTCATGCGCCCGTGGCTGTACACCCGCCTGGACGCCCATGCGCACGCCGAGCTAGACGCTCGCGCACACTAGGTTGGACGCCTGCCCGCGTCCCCACCTGCACGCCCGCACGCGCACCGCTGTACACCAGCGATGGTGTCGATGCCCACTTGTTTGCCCTTTAATATCTTGGATGCTCCCCACTTGTGCAACCATCTTGGAGTGGTGCAACACGTTCCCATGCACGTCGGCTAAGCCCTCTAAGTAAGCCATGCCATA